GGGGTTGGGGTACCCCAGGTCCTGCCCCATAAAGGGTTGGGGCACCCCAGCCCTGCCCCACAGATTGGGGTGTCCCAGGTCCTGTCCCATGAGGTTTGGGGTGCCCCAGCTCCTGCCCCATAGAGGTTGGGGTGTCCCAGGTCCTGCCCCACAGGGGTTTGGGGTGCCCCAGGTCCTGCCCATCCCCTCTGAGGGGCTCCCCAGCATGGGGATGGGGGCACCAGGCCCAGCCCTACAGACCCTCCCTGTCCTGCATCACCCTGGGGACACCTGCCCTGCCCCTCTGCCCTGTCCCCTCCTTTGGGTGTCCCCAAGGGCCACCACCTGCCTGTGCCCACCAGGGCCAGCTCCTCCTGACACCTTAATTTGGGATTTTGGGTGGAGGGAGAGGGAGCATTTGGGGAGCTGCTGAGTCAGCCCTGAGGGAGGGAAATGGGCCCAGGGCAGGACCAGGGAAGAAAATGGGCTGGGGCAGAGAGGGAAAAGGGCCAGGACAGGAGCAGGGAGGGAATTGGGCTGGGACAGGGAGGGAAATGGGCAGAACCAGGGAGGGAAATTGGCCCAGGGAGGGAAATGGGCCCAGGGCAGGACCAGGGAGGGAAATTGGCCCAGGGAGGGAAATGAGGCCAGGAAGGACCAGGGAAGGAAATGGGCTGGGGCAGGGAGGGAAATGAGCAGGACCAGGGAGGGAAAGAGCAGGACCAGAGAGGGAAATAGGCTCAGGGAGGGAAATTGGCCCAGGCAGGACCAGGGAGGGAAATGCCTGGGGCAGGAGCACCCCCTGGGCCTGGGGGGCAGTGAGGGCTGTCCCAGGGCACTGCCCTGGCACAGGGAGGGGTTACCCATGGCCTCCCCCCTGCAGGCAGGGGCACCCTGTCAGATGAGCACGCTGGCATCATCTCCGTGCTGGCCCAGCAGGCGGCCAAGCTGACCTCGGACCCCACGGACACGCCCGTGGTGTGCCTGGAGTCAGACAGCGGGTGAGCCCCGGCCTGAGCTGCCCCTGAGCCCCCCCTGGGCCCTCCCCTGCCCTGGGAGTGCCTGAGGGAGAGACTGGAGCAGCCATGGGGGAGGCACTGCCACAGGGACTGGGTTAATGGGGGTGGAAAAGCAGGGGAGACCTTCAGGGGCTGCTGGTTACTGCAGCTCAGCTCTTCCCCCTTGGGGTTCCTGTGGGTGACAGAGCCTGGG